AAGCAAAGAAGCTTGATTACTCTTCCCCTCTCTCGCACTGCTGCTGCTTGGTGGGGGCCAGCATTTTGCAGGGACGGATGCCGATCAGCAAGAGCCTGCGGTTTGCATACACCGTGCTGGGCTGCCTCAGGGCTTTCCCAAACCAGTTATTCCTGCAGCACTGTATAACACCACATTATAATCCTGACAGCATCAGTAAGCAAGGAGGAAGGGGAAGGACAGCACAGGCTTACACAGCAAGCAGCAGGCCATTGCTGTCCCCTCTGCCTTGTCCATTTGGGTTCTGCAACACCAGTGCCTGGATCTTGGTGGTTCCTTTTGCTCCTGCTGTGCACCCAACAGCTCTCATAGCTTTTCCTTATCCTCCGAGAAGGCAGATCAACCCTATCGTTATTCTTCCTGTAATCCCTTTTACACCCCATGCATTTTGAAGGCCTTTCCCTATGGTCTCTGTACGCTTCAGTAGGTCAGGCACAAGGGCTGGCCCTTGCCTAGCCCTATAGATCTTAACCGTACAGTTAAAACAGTCATTTTCTGAGTCAGTACCAGAGTTTCTTACCTTGAGCTCCTTGACTGTAAAACAGTCTGTGAGCAGACTCGACATCCAAAAAGTAGTCCATTTTGAAGGAACTTTATGTTTGTGTACAATACTCCAGTATGGACAGTCAGTCAGATTCCTGGGAAAGATTACAGAAATGCCAGACAGGAAAAAGCTGGTGAGTTTCTTTGTGGAAAGAATTGTGTAGGCAGTCACGAAAGTACTTCATTTGGCATATTAGGGTCAAAGCATTTTCAAATCACTATTCATAGAACTTCATAAGCATCCTAATTTTAGGATGTTTGGTTTAAATCCTTGTCTAAAGACATAAAAGAAAAGTCCTACTGCAGTATTAGCAAGATTCCTAGTACCTTCCTAGTACAATCACCTTTATTCTATCCACAGTCTCCATTTCTCACAGTACATATTTAGATTCATCTGCCTGTTCCATTTCCTCTAAAAAGAAGATCAGAAAAGCTTGGGGCAGAGACCTCCTTTAGCCAGATCTACAGCCAGCACCTCTGAGCAGGCACTACTGTAACAGACTACATTAAAGAGAGCATTCATGCTGCTTACACCAAAACGTTGTACTAGAAAGGAAAACACAATTTTCTGGATATTTCATCCCACCTAAATGACCAGAAGCCAACCTTGCCTTCCCTCTCCCCTCTTACTGACCAGAAGCAGCAACAGAACATCCCACCATCAGTTTTAAAAGGTATGATAAGAGCAATCGTTAAGAAACAGTAGGCTGCTCCTAGCACTGCTTCTTAGCTAAGGCTTATATTTTTGGCATTCTTCTGAACCTCAGATCTGTCTAGATCTTAAATTACAACTGTCCAAGATGTGCACTGAAACAGGTTTGCCTCTGCCGGGCAGAGTTCCTGGGATTATGCACATTATTGTGACCCTTCTCCAGCCTTCTTGCTACCTTCTGCATTTTCTTCTACTCTGAAAAACTCACATGAAAAAACAGGATTTGCAGAAAACACACAATCCAGTTCTCTCCTCCACACCTCAGTTAGCTACGGCATATAATCATAAGCATACAAACAGCTCTGCACAACGTTTATTTTAAGACAGACAGACAAAAATACCTCTAGTCCTTTTCCGTGCAAACCTAACAGAAAGGTTTGGGGCAGGGAGTCCGACTCTTGCTTCAAGCAATTCCTTTAATTATGTTGGCAAAAATCAGGAAACCAGGGTTCCAAAGCTTTCCCTTTTTCCTTTGATTCAGTTTTCATCGATCAACATGCAGTCCTTTCTAAAATTCAGCAGCCTATCCTGATGAGAAAACTTTTAAAATTCCTCAGCAATTTGCTTTGCTGTAGCACTCCCAAACCAGAAGCGATACTTACTGCAGAGTATCAAGAGCTGCCTGGCCGTGGTGTAAGCTCCAGTAGCTTCAAGGAGGGTTTCTTTGATCTTACTAAATTGTCCCCAGTGTAAGCAAACAATTTTGATTGTTTGATTGGAACTCTGATGAATAATGCATAACGTCAACTGGACTTCCTTTATCAGATAAAAATGGCCAGGAGATGTTGTTACTTAGCAACAGGAGGTGACACTACGATCATCTCCCCCACTCCCCCTCACCCTTCATACTGAAAAATTAAGCCCCTGGTTTTGATTTGATAAAAACTTTCCCAAGGGTGTGTGGGGGGGGAATCGACATTAAGTTTCCTTAAGAATTTGTTTCTCACTCTGATCTTCCTTGTTGCATCTCATATTCTGAGGTATTCTTAAGTGTTTCATAATGATTAACCATAACACTGTGCTTTGTCTAATAATTTGCTTTCAGTAAGTAAAAACCTACTTTCTCCATCATTTACCACAAGGGTAATGAGATTGTTAAGTGGTTTGCTACGAATATAATGCAAATAACAGCTTGAAGAGATTAATTTCTTATCTGGTACTGCTTGTTGGACAAGGCAGACAGAAAAAGCAACACACAAAATGTTCCAGTGATGCTATGAAATATATAGATTATCCAGAAACCTTTCCTATTACAGAATTCCTACTTAAGGTAATTCATTTGTTCCTGAAGGAGCAATAATATCTGATACAAGCATTCTCGAGGAATCATTGCATTTCTGCTTAACATACAGCCTTTTACAAAATACACGATGTAGCTTTATTCAGGAAATACACATTGATAAAAAGCCAAAGCACTGTGAAAGATTAAAAATAAATAAATAAAATCAGATGCAGGAGGTAAGTACTTACCAGTGTTACTGACCTCTTTCCATCCTACTGTCATGGAATAAGACTAAGCAAATGCAACCCAGTCTGTGAGCCAGAATGAACAGCTTCTAATTTTCACTTCAACCTCGAAATCAAGAGTACTGAATAGAGAAAGGTGACGGATCTGCTGTTTTATATTATGATGAAATGAAAGCTCTTAGCACAGATCTGAGTAGAACTGCTTTTTTTTTTATACTACATTAGCCTGCTAATTTGAGGAAAGTGAAAGGCATTGTTTTACTGTCTTTTATCTGTTCTCTTTGCTACCCCCACAATTTAATTTGCATTTAAAATTATTCTTATGTCTCCACTGCACTCCAAGGTATGGAGCATTTTCTAATCACGATGAATGTTCAGTGTGGTTTTTGTGCAATGCCACTTTTATTCTGAGCCAGAAACATGGTGAGTAATTATAATTGCCAGCTATTTTCTAGAATGAAATACAGAGTGGTTGTCTGATGCAGTTTCTGATTTTTCCTCCATTTAGCAGTGCAATGCAACAAACTACTCAGTCAAAGCATCAGTAAAAACATAAATCAAATAGCACAGTGTCATGGCATGATAGCTTAAACATGCATATCCATCGACCGTGAAAGCAGAATACGTTTCTACCGAGATCTTTTCAATTATAATTTGCCTTTCCCGAGTTTGAAAGTGGGCTTGGGTGATTAATAAACTGAAATATAGCACAGTTATCTCTTGGTAGCTTCCTGCTCATCTAGTTTAGCATTATTGGAGCTGCCCATTGTTTGGAATCCTGATGAAGCCAGGCACTAGGGGCTAACAAGGGCCATGCTATTAAGTTGCACGGGCATCCCTCACAAGAGGGCCAGGACCCTGCTTCTTCCAGCAGGTCTTAGTGTAGTTACCCAAAGTCCGATTTTGGAAGTGGATCAGAAATTGAAGAAGGCAGTGATAAAGCGATCCTTTGATAAATTTAGACTCAGAAGTTCTGGGCAAGAGAAGCGTCAGGAAGCAATCAAGCTTAGTCTTCCCGTATTTGCAGATACTCTGCTCAAAATATCAGGTACAAATGCCCTCTGAAATCCATTGCCACCAAATGTTACTGGTGCTCAAAACTGTGGCTTCTGAAAGGTTAGATTTTCATTTCAGTATCAGAAAACTCGATATCAAGTAGCATAGGGTTTTTTTGGCTTTTAAGAAGAAACCCAAGAAGATAAATAAACCCTCAGAGTACTTTTTTTTTTGATGCAGGTTAGAAAGTAAGAATCCCTCTGAGCAGATTACTCCATGGGTTTCCACTCTTAAGATTTCTTACATGCTTCTTCAAAGCACCCAGGCGGTATCAAAGATAAGGGTGAGCTGTATGAACTCCAGGTGGAACCTGGTATGGCTGTTCCTACACTGGCACCCCACTAAATATGGTTGGATTGAGTAGGTGTCTCACAGTGCCACCTTAGCGGTGGATCTGGCTTATGCAAAACTGTGTTCCTGTTTTCAGAGGTGTGACAAACATTTTCATTCCTAAACACAAACTAAAGCAAAAACAAATAGCAAGAACACTGCAAGTGACCTTCTTTGCATTTTGGAGAGTTGCTAGCACCTTCCTCTTTGCATTTTGGAGAGTTTGTATTTGCCATGATGACCACTGAATAATAGTTCCCTCCAAGCTCTCCTCTGATAATTATTGGATCTATTAGCTTATGGACCAGGGGCTAGTTGCCTGTTTAGCCCAGCTGACTTTCTTCAACAGAAAACCAGAAAAAAGAAGAAAGGCTGGCAATGCAGAGATGCAGAAGGAAGAATGGAGGACAGGAGGACACTATACCTCACTCTCTCCAAGCAACATATCTGCTTGTTTGCAAGCAGTATGCTTTTTTTTTTCCCTAGGGACACTGGATCTCCCAGTCAGGAGGAGACTGAAAAAATACAACCTTGTATGCTGGAGAATGTTTTATAGCACCTGTCCTTTAGCCTTTGGTGTGTCCTCCTGATCCTCTTTCAGTCTGCATTGTCATCTTCCACCGTGACTGATAAGTGTAGTCACTGAAATCACCAGCAGTGTCTCTACTGACCACTGGAAGATCAGCCATCCCGATACCTTCATCCATCTCAGGGATTTACAGTTCACTTTAAATTATAGTGCAGCAGTTCTGGCAGTTGGTCGGAGCTCTCTCTGACTAGGGGGTACATAGCGACAAGAAAGATAACAGTGCCTTTATATTCATATGCTTCTGTGACATTCATCACCATGAGGGAAATCCTTGCCTTCATGGTTACAAAGTCTTTAGGATGGTAGCGTGGGCTCAGATTTGACCCACAGTCTGGAGAGATCTCTACCCTCAGAAAGGGAAATCCATTACCCTCAGTTCAGTTGAAAAGTGTACATATCTAGAAATATGTTCGGGCGAAACAGATCTGGTTTGAGTTAGGTAGGCCCAGATCAGGCTTCACATATCCTTGAGGCTCACTCTGAAAGTTGTGCACAGCTCTTGAGCTAATGCACAGTGCATTGAGATGTGCACTCTGACTTGGTTTCCAAAGAACAGCAGAGCACCTCAGAGGGCAGAATGGGGAAGGACAGCAGTAGCCAGAAACAGAAACTGTTCTCTCTGGCTCCTTGAACACTTCCCTGTGCTCTGTCAAGCCCTGAAGCCAAACTTGCAAAACCTCTGCTATTGACTGGACCTCTTATCAGCACAGATCCCTGCTCAGGATAACGGGTGCAATGGTTTTGTAACATACACAGATACCCACAGAGGACTCGACTGAGACTGAACTCTCAGTGAGATAGACCATAAAACCAACCGACCAACCTCTGCTAAAGAGCTACTTGGAAAAAAACTGTCACGCTTTGGAAAAATCTGAAGCCAGCAT